ACCGCCAGGAGTAATTCCTGAGTGTAGAGCCAGGAGTAACCCCTATGCATCACTAGGTGTGACCTAAACAGAAAAAGAGCACTGGCTGAGTGAGGATGACTGTGTTTCGTGTTCTGAACTTCCCTGGGACACGGAACAATACACAGTCACATTTGCTGAGCAAAGGAATGGCTTATCTCAGGCAAGTAGCCCAGGCTGGTCCCTTTGCAGCCTTGCCAGCGAGTGTCGCTACTTCAACTGCCCAGCAGAGACCCATCAGGCACTGGATAGATACTTTTGGCACAGTAAAGTCCAGCAAGAACTGAGAACCTAAAAGGCCGGACATGCCAATGAGTCCAGCTGACGCAGGAGGCTGGAAGTCAGCCAACCATGGAAGGGTTTGTGCCCAGTGCTTAGCAGGTGGGCACTGATGGTCGTGACCTTAATCTAAGACTGCCGGCCTGGCAGGTTTTGTTTTGGGGTCACACCTGATGATGCTCAGGGCTTACTCCTGGCTCTGCACCCAGGAATCACTCCTGGCGGTGCTCAGGGCATGCCGGGGATGAAACCCAGGTCAGCCACAGTGCCAAGGCAAACACTCTACCTGCTGTACTATCGCTCCAGCCTTAGCAGAACACATTCTTGGCATGAAATTATGTAAGTCTTGGGGCTGGAGCGATAGTACAGAAGGGAGGGTGTTTGCCTTGCACGCAGTCAACCCAAGTCTTAATTCCCAGCATCCCATATGGTCCCCTGAGCACTGCCAGTAGTCCTTCCTGAGTGCCAAGCCAGGAGTAACCCCTGAGCATCGCCAGGTGTGACCCAAAAAGCAATTAAATAAATAGATAAATAAATAAATGTGAGTCTCTTACAAGGGAAAAAGTTTTATTCATGCAGCACCCACAATTATGATGGAATCAGCCCCCACAGACCCCCCCACCTTCTAATTGCACCCGACACAGTGAGTGTACTGGACAGGAAATGGGGACCTACGGCAGGTGGAGATTTTTATGGGGTGCTGGGAAGGCCCCATTTCTTGCTCTAGATGGTGGGTCCATGGTGGTGTAGAAAAGGAAAAGACTTGCCCATCTATTTCCTGTCTGGCACACTGTATTAAGTATACATAATACTTAGCTTTTGAAATTCATTTCTGCAAAAGATGCCACTCCCTCTTTGTTGGTTTCCTTGTTAGTTTTTTTCCCCTGGGCTGTATCTGGCAGTGCTCAGGGGTTACGTGGGGTTCTGCACTCAGGAATCACTCCTGGTAGATTCAAGGAAGCAGATAGGGTACTAGGGCTTGAACCCAGGTCAGCCACGTGCAAGGCAAATGCCCTACCCGCCGTACTCTCTGGGGCCCTGATCCCACCCCCTCTTGGAAAAATCCTTCTATTTCTTTTGATTCATCTGGTTCTCAGCTAACAAAGCAGCAATGATTCAGGGGTACCATGGAGGGGCTGGAGTGAAAGTACAGCTGCTCAGGCATATGTCTTGTATGTGGCCCACGTGGGTTCAATACCACCAAGAGTGATTCCTGAGGGCAGAGCTACGAGTAAGCTCTGAGCATCGGCATGTGTGCCATCACCACCCCCCTCCAAATCCCCCCAAATCCCATTTATTCATTTAGAAAAACGAGACTCATGACAGAAAGCACACGCCCACATGCCCCTTGCCCCCCCAAAGCCTCATGACATGGTAATGCTTTTTCAGGGGGCTCCCACATTCAGCGTGAGTGATATCACTGAGGTGTGTATACCCATGGCTTTCCCCGCCCCCAAGTGCTGTATTTGAGGGACCAGAGTGAGAGAACAGTGGCAAGGGCACTTGTAGGGCATAAGCCAGCCCAAGTTTGATCCCCAGCACTCCATCCAGTCCCCCAGGAGAGATCCTGGAGTGCAGGGCTGGGACTGAGCCTTGAGCACCTCCGGGTGTGGTCCAAAAAATACAAACAATTTTTACTTTAAAAATTAGTAACATTAGGGCCGGAGAGATAGTACATCAGGTTGGGTATTTGCCTTGTACACGGCTGACTCAGATTATATCCCCAGCATCCCATATGGTTCCCCAGCACTGCCAGGAGTAATTCCTGAGTGCAGAGCCAGGAGTAACTCCTGAGTATCGCTGGGTGTGATCCAAAAAAGCAATAAATAAATAAAAAATAGCAATGCCAAGGATCATGAAGCATATGAAATTGTGGGGGGGAATAATGTGAAAGTATCAATAAAATTATGATTCCATTCTCAAAGGCATTCTTGTTATAAATAGTACTGTAACCTGAATTTTTTTATTTTATTTTTATTTTGCCTTTTTGGGTCACACCTGGCGAAGCACAGGGGTTATTCCTGACTCTGCACTCAGGACTTACTCCTGGAAGTGCTTGGGAGACCATAGGGGATGCAGGGAATCGAACCCGGGTGGGCCGCGTGCAAGGCAAACGCCCTACCCGCTGTGCTATCGCTCCAGTCCCTTTTTGAGGTGTCATAATTCATAAAACTATTGAAGTCATTATTTCTTACTGTACCAGTAATACTTCCCTATGGGTGCTTGCCCATGAAGGGCTCCTACTCATCCCTCCACCACCCCCATGCTCACAAGGACAGACACCGAACTCCCCAGACAGACACTTTCCAATATTTTTTATTGTTTGACAGGCATTTACAACGTTCCATTCATAGACCTAAAAACATAAAAATAGACCTTCTTTCAGCTTATAAAAGAAATATATAAGAACTTTTGACATAGACACGTCATGACCTTATGTACAAGAGACAATGGCCCCCTCTCCAAGCACGAGCCTGGCCAGCCTTCCCTGACGGACCGTTGCACTGGGGCTTGAACACGTGACTCGGAGAAGCTTCTGTTTGACCATCCGGGTATACAATCAAACTGGAGATGATGAGGGACAATGCAGTGGTACAAAGGGTATATATAGAAACCATTCTAAAGCTTTTTTATTATTATTTTTTTAAGAAAAAATCAGAAGATTTAGCAAAAATTTAATAGAATAAAACTTTCCAAAGATCAAGCTCAAAGCCCTGGAAACCCATTAAGAGGAAGGGTGCGAGATGGGAAGCATGTTCAGGCAAGCAGAGGCCAAGAGCACGGTGTTCGGACGTCTCTATTGTCTGGAAGTATAAAGTCATAACCGATTTTTATAAAATATAATTCCTAAAGCTACTATAAAATTCAGGTCCTTTAAAGTACCTACTGATGTGTCAAACACCAAATAGATAACTTCTTCCCCACCCCACCCCCCGCAAAAAAAAAAAAGAAAGTTTTCATATTATTTAAACCCTTCTTAGGAAGTGGACATTGTGAAATGGGAAAGAAAAAAAAAAAGCTATAAACCTTTTTCTTTAAAAAAAATCCTTTTGAAAGTGCTTTTTATTTTGTTTATGTTCTCCCTATTTGGAAATCTGTTTAGAATATTATGACCTTTTTTTTTTTTTAAAGCAAGTTTACCCTGTTTTGTTGGCGTGAGGGAAGTGTTCAATGCAAGATGTGTTGTTGAAGAGGTCGTTTTGTGAAGAGGTTTGGCTATGAACTGTCAGGGAAGGGTTAGGTAATCTATAGAGGAAGGATGCAACTTGGATGGGGTGAAAAAAAAAAAAACGATCACCATGGCAACCCCATGAGGTGTCTCCCCTCTCCCACCACGTGCAACAGACTCACACACTTGCCCGTTTGGGTGTCATGTTCAATCCAACCAAGTTCCCCTCTCAAATAGAGATTCAAACATTAACAAACAAAAATAATAAAAATAAAACAAAACAACTCCCCAGCCCATCCCTCCCCAGAAACCCCAAAACAACATCAACGACAACGAAAACCCGAATCTACTCTCTGGGGGCGGGGTGGAGGGTGGGTGGGGTGGAAAAAGTGTCTCCCAAGCATGAGCATCATATTGGCCTTTCATATATAAATATAAAATCACCATGACTCACTCTCTCTCTGTTAAAGGTAAAATCCTCACTTTTTAAAACTCAGAGTTACACTAACACTGTAAAATTCTCATCTGTCTCATCTGCTCCCCCCCCCCTTGCATCTCAGATAAAATAGAAAAAATAGTGTTTTTTTTTTCAAGTGATAAATTTGGATCTCTTTTTCAAAGAGTTTGGCATCTTTATAATTCTATGCAAAACTAGAACTTTCGAACACTGACATCAAGTAAGACCAGCCGTAGACCGAAAACAGGAGAGAACCAAAAAAAAAAAAATGGGGGGCAGGGTGGGGGTGGGAGGGAATCATGGAAACATAAATCGCAAATCACCACCCTCTCCTCACGCATCCTTGAAATACACAGAAATGCTCAGACGCTTAAGGGTGGGGGCGGAAAGGGGGTTCGAACACTCTCAGCTGTCCAGTTGCTTTGTTCCGGGCTTGAAGGTGAAGCTCCCCCAACCACTCGTGGCCAGCTCCCGGCTGGATTTCAGACACGGGTGTCACGGGATGACATGCTCTTCTCTGTCCTGGGGTCTGGACCCCGCATCCTGGCGGGGTGGGGTGGGTCCATGTGCTTTCCAGGGCCGGAGGAGACTTTGCACCGGGGCGTGTGTTTTTCCGGTTCCTTGGAACCTGCTTGGTGGCGAAGGCACCCGGAGCCCTTAGTCCGGTACCCGCTGCCTGGGGATGCTTCCACCGATGCGTTCCGGTGCCCGTTCCCAGTGACGCAGAGGGCTTTGGGACCATGTTTGTGGCTTCCGAACAAAGTCAGCTGCCAGATGTGTGAGCGTGCGAGCGTGTGTGCAAGAGTGCATGACCTAAGGGAAGGTGCCCCTCCTCTTCCAGGGGTACAAGAGGCGGGAGCCGAGGGCAGGGCAGGGATGGGCAGGAAGTTCTCGAGACGCGCACACCCACACACACACACACGCAAGCACAAATGCACACAAACGGACACACGTGCATACATGCACACACACACACACACGCGCGCGCACATATGCACACAAACGGACACACGTGCATACATGCGCACACATACACACACACAGTCACACACGCGTGTGCGCCCGTACGCCCACGCGCGCCCACACGCCCACACGCGCACGCGCTAGGGGGGCCCGGGGGACACTGTCAGATCTCCGTGTTGAGTTTCCGGGACGGGGCAAAGTCCTCGCGCCGGACCCAGATGACCTCCTCGCCCGGCGACTCGGGGCCCCCGTTGAGGCCCGACAGCGCCGCCTGCTTCTTGAGCTGCGTCATGCGCGACGCGTGGCTGTCCAGGGTGCGGCGGCCGCGCTCCCGCTGGCCGATGGACGCTGCCTGCAGCCGCTCCTGCAGCTCCCGGTCCTCGCCGCGCACCGCCTCGCAGAAGTCATCGTCGTCGCTCAGGATGTCCGTCTCCTTGATGTCCTCCTGCTCCTCGTACTGCGCGAGGTCAAACTGCTCCTCCACCCAGCGGTCAGTGTCCCCGCCGCTGCCGCTGCCGCCGCCGCCGGGGGGCTGCTGGGGCTCCTTCTCGGGGCTGCTGGCCGAGATGGCATCGGAGTCAATGGTAAACCTGTTACGGGCCAGTCGCCGCCGCCTTCTCCCAAGGGACTTGCTGGGGGCGGACACTGCGCACACACACACACACAAAAGTGTAAGAGATAAAAATAAAGCCCGCCCCACCCCGCGATGCTTTCACCCTGGGATGGCAAGTGGAGAGCAGCCGAGAGAGGGCTCATGATCCAAAACGGGGAGATGACCCCACGGTGCGCGGGGTATGGCGGCTGGAGCCGGCGGTCGTTATCAGCCTTGGCCGGCAGACGTTGGGACTGGGGGGCAGGGGTGGGACCAGGGTGCAAGTGATGGATACAGGGGACTGATGTGACTCACCCTTTCTCACTAAGGAAGGGGGATAAGACAGAGTGTTAATTTATTAGACTCTGCATTTTGGGGTTCCTTGGTGCCCTCAAGCTCATGGTACAGTGCTCCTAGGACACCCTCCAGCCCACTCCCGACTATCCTAGAACATTTAGAAGAGGTCTTAAAGAAGGGTGGAGAATATTCCTAGATGTGGGCTGTTTTCTTTTTTTTTTCCTAGAAACTACCATGGAAAGAGGGAATTAGCATGGTCTAGGTTACAGAGTTTTGCAGAAAACCAATGCCTCCCTCGAGGACTTGCACCAAGATCCAGGCTCTGGCACCCCCGTGGGGGTATTTACAGAGAAGAGAAGTTCTCAGAGTCCAAGCTGCCAGCTCAGGGCCCATACTCTCTCTCTAACGAAGCCCTAGATGCACCATGAGACCAAGAGACCAAGCTGGTGTGAGCCTTGGCCACTCCCAGCCACCTTCGCCCACCAGTGACGACTTCTTCCGCCCAAGCAATGCCTACAAGCAACGGAGCAATGACTCACAAACACCCCCCACCCAAGTAATGAGTCAGCCCTATGCTACCTGAAGAGATGAAGAGAAAACAAACGCAATTTCTGAATGCATTCTTCCCCCTGATGGTCCTTGAAGTGAGCCGAATTCTTTCAAGGAAAAAAATGACCTCCACTTAAGTACGCCAACCCCGAGCATGCCTGCAACTCCATCATTATGCAAGCTTTCACACACACACATCCACAGACACACACTCAGACACACAAACAGGAGATGCGGCAGCTCCTTCCTTGTTTGTGAAGGGGCTGTTGCCGTAAGAGGCAAGAAGGTACAATGCAGTGTGAGTTTTCCAGTGGAGAGAGAAGACTTGACAGTCCCTGGCAGCCCCTTTCCAGAGGGGTGAAACCAGCCCAAGCTGCTAGGAGGAGGAGGCTTTCTGGACTGCTCAGTTATTGTCCGGTGCACCTTGACCTCAAAACACAGCTGGCAGATGCAAGTCCAGTGGGCAGTGGATGGGGCTAAGTGACTCCTTCTCTGACTGACCTCCGCCTGAGTTGCCATACTGCAGCTGAGTGTTCTGTTCAACACTGACCAAATGGACAACATTCTCGATCACAGGGGAATAAAAACTACGTCCAGGAAAATAGAAAAAAAAAAAAAGCCTGGGGTGGGGGGTGGGGTAGGGAGAAGTGTCCTCCTTCTCTGATGAGAAAAAGGAAAAACAGAATTCTCATTCAATGCTGTCTCTACACCGCCCCGGTGCAGCCGGGATCTCTCCAATCACCAGGCCAGAACTATCTCCACTCGATACAGAGCTGCGTTGAAGATTTGCTAACAGGCTGGATGCCGATGTACTTAGGGGAAAAGCATCAAAAATAAGATGAGTGACAGATGACAGAGGAACAGGTGTGATGATGAAGTCATGGAAAATATTAATAGTACACTACAGATGGCAGGTGTGAATGTACACGATTCTTTGAGCTGTTCTATACATCTCATATTTTTCCTCAGGAAACGTTAGAACATTAATTAGAAAAAAAAAAGTCCAAGTGTCACTGCATTGCAGGCAAATGTTCACCTAAGCGAAGTACTGACGCAGGATACAGCCTGTTCCCAAGGTACTGTCCTGTTCAAACTGAACAGATGGGGAAACAGACTACCTGGGTACAGGAGGCAGGATGAAACACAAGCAAACATCCTCAAAGGAAGCCTCACTGGATTCCAGGAGAGAATCTTTGGTCTTGGATATCTGAGGGTCACCAGCCAGCACTGTGCTGACCACTCCCTGACTGACTCTTCTAACATGAAGATCCTGATGATAATAAGATGCTTCCAAAGCAGAGATCAAACAAACAAACAAACAAAAAAACACCTTTCTCTGGCCCACAAAGGGCCATCTGGCAAGACCTCCCCATCAGCCAAAGCCAAGAGGCTTTTTCTCGGTGATAGGATGCTCGTGGAAGTTGTGGGGTCTGGTTTTCTCTCCCTTCTGACTGGATCTCAGCAGGGAGACAGCTGGGTGCCCTCCAAAATAAACCTGCTTAGATTCAAAAGAGCTCTAAGACTGAATTTAGAATCACCGATTAACCACTGAAACCTGGGCCAGGCCAGGTAAGGCTGGCAGAGGTTGGAACATTCTAAGGAAAACATTTCCTGGGTAGCAAAAGGAACAGATGATTGGCTCCACTGAGGGCGATGTAGGGCAGCTTTCTCACAGGATGACCCCATGGGAAACTGTGGATATGGAGCTATCAGACCCTCAGGATGCCTCAGAGAACCTGACCAGGCACAGCGTGTAGACCACACCAGCTTTTAAATAAACACTTGTAAGTTAATCAGAGGATAAAGTCATGGTGATGAATCACTTAGCATGAGTTACACAGAAGATGCTCAAAGAATATATTCCAAGTCAAGCTACAGGCGTTGTGCCTATGAAAACCTTCAACCATTCAGTGCTTTGTGAGTCTTTTAACACACTTGGCAACAGGTGCAAATTGTCAGTGGGCTGTAAAACTGGAGGGCTTAAGAAGGCATTGATAAAAAATGTCATTGATCCCTACGTGTCATGAAAGTATCTTTTTCTCAAGATGCGATATACTGGCTGATACTGGTCTTCCTCACTCCATCGTTCAGTGATGGAGCCAAGTTCTAAAAGAATATTTGCTCTAGAATCATTTGAGCATTAGAATCCTCTTTATCCATAGCACCTCAAAGCCCCTCTCCCCACCAATCCAAAATATAAAAAAACTAACACTGATGCTAAAAATGGCAGGCATAAGGCAAAAGTGAAAAAAAAAAGGTGGGTGATCTGGTCTACCCAACATGGACTCAATCCTGAAAACTGGCACCACTGTGTGTGTCTGGGGTCCAAAGTCACCATGTTCTCGCCATGGCAGGCTGTGACCTCGCTAAGCCGTGATGCACGCTAAGCTGTGGCTGCTGGCTAGACAAAGCTGGCTGCCATGCAAAGCAGTGACTCTCATTCTGCAAGCAGGCTAAGACAGCAACCCTGCCGAAAGAGAAGATACGCTCACCTCCTGGCTTAGCAAATCAGAGAGGAGCTCACCAGCCACAGGAAGGCAGCCAAGGGGAAGCATGAGTCGGGGGACAAGAGGAAGAGAACAAAGGGCTGATTGCCAGGAAGCCAGTAGAAAGAGACCTCCGGACAGAGAAGACCCGTACTCCAACGTCAGCCCAAGGCCATGGCTAATTCTTACTCCATCACGTCAAGCTCCCTGGAGTTCTACAGTGGAGTGGGGGTGACGGGGATCGTGAAGGTCTGAATCCCCACAGTACCTGCCCTGCTCATGGCCGGCCTGGCCCCTTTCAACGCACACAATCTCTTTCCTCCAAAGGGGACATATTGCTGGGACGAGGGAAGGCTTTCCGTTTTGAGGAGCTGTCTTCTGTGCTTATCACGCAGGATGGAATGCACGGCCTTCAGGAATTCCTTTCGGCTCTCCGGAGAGCTGGGAAATGAAGATTGATATATGTGAGGGGATCTGCCTATGAGCCACGGGGAACCTTCCCAGGCTATGAAGTGAAGTCGAAGAAATATCCCTGAGGAAAGCCTATTCCTTTCCAGTTAACGCTCTGTCTTCCATTTCCTGCAGCCAATTTGGGGCAGAATGGCCCAGGAATGAATTGATGGGTGCGGAGATGGATTTTCCAACATAAAGTTGACAGTCTCTTGGTCCTTAAGGCAGAGCCTTCATTCTAAAGTGTTTTTTTTTATTAGACAAATGAGCCCCAACACCCTGGTAGTTCTGCCAAGTACCCTAAGACTAATACCCAATAGCATCAGTTCTTCAAAAACTGGCCTATTAAATATCACTCCTTCCAGACATGGTTCAACATGTAAACATTAGAGCAGTGTGAATACAGGACTGAAAAATCTCCCAAGTCCTCGTTCCCATAATTTAAAAAACTCTACTTCCTCCTGGTCAGCATTATTTTTTTTTCTGGTGAAAGCTGATAATATTTGACCCAGGTTAAATATCATGAAGGGAGACTCATCAGGTAACACTCAACTTGGGTGAGGGACAGAATGTAGTATGGCAGGTCAGCTGTGTGCAAGGCAAACATTCTATCTGCCATATTATCGCTCTGGCCTTTACCCTGAGTAAGCTTTATCTAACCTAACTCATTTGCTGCATCTCAGAGATTCTACCTCATAAACAATGTATCCCAATCTCCCAGATCAACTCCCATATGGAACCATGTCCTTCCTATAGACCAATGTTAAATATGAAAAGAAAGTTCTCAGTAAAGGTAGACTCTGAACACTGCATAAGAAAAAAAATCCTATTTAATTATTTCAGAAATATATTAATTGATTAGATTATTGTGTATCATCTGTTAGTATAGTATAATTAATCCAATGACTTATTTTCTAAGCATAAAATACTTTCTCAAATGCACACAGTGTCCAGGGTTGTCCAGGCTGGTCTGGAACCCAGAGGTGATGGAAGGAGGGCCAGCACAGTCACATCCCTGACTCTGAGCTCTAAGGGTTCCCATCCCAGCTCTGGGTTGCATGTCCCAACTCCAGACTCACCTGCAACACAGGTGAAAGACTCTCTCCGGCCTCCCTTCAGACTCCGATTTGACATGCACAATTTCACACACGGTGTTGGCTTCTGCGTCTAGAGCAATGGAGACAGTGGTGAATCAGAGGGTGTTTTGAATTAATGGCATGGTGTGAGAAAGCACTTCCCGTGCTTGGATCTCAGATGAAGTCAACCTGAGCAGCAGCCGACTGACCAAAGGAACTTGACTCAGAACCCAAGATCTAAGGAGATGATGCATAATGAAAAGCAAGGAAAAAGATGACTTGGACAATTTCTTTTATTTATTTTTTTTGGAGAGGCTCATACCCAGCTCTGCTCAGGGCTTATTCCTGGCCCTGCACTCAGGTATCACTCCTGAGGGCTCGAGAACCGTATGGGATGCTGGGGATGGAACCTGGGTCAGCCGCGTGCCAGACAAATGCCCTACCCTCTGTACTATTGCTCTGGCCCTGATTTGGGTAATTCTAACTGCTAGAATCTCCTTCTCGATGGCCTAAGAGGTCGACCAAGCAACCCGTGACAGTGATGGAAGAACTGAGTTATGGAGCAGCCCAGATTCTGGCGTCTGGCTCTTTCAATGAAGCAGTGAGTTCCAAATAGGGTTGATCCAAATTCCATCCCCCCCCCCCCCACCCCAATAAGGTAAATAAAATGCAAAAAAAAAAAAAAAGATTTAACAAGACATGGGAAGCTGGCTTTATGAGGACATAAGACAAGTTGTAGGCTCAGCACTGATTAGACACTAAGAACTTATGGGTCCTAGTAAGTGTGGAAGCGGCATGGATAGAAATGTCCACAGTGGAGGTCCACGGGCAGGGGGCTCTCTGGGCCACAGGTAGGCTATACCTGGCATCCAGGTGGGACAGGAAGCAGCTTTTCTTAGCCAATACCTGTAGTGCTCACCCCCTACTAGAGCTACAATATCTACTTCTCCCGTGCTTAAAGCATCCGCTATTCAGATTAAGTTGCCCAACAACTTGCTTCACTGCTATCAAGAGCAAAGCAAAGGAAAAGACATTTCAAAAGCCTTCATGCTGACACACACATAAAGGCCTGCGATGCTGGGGGGAAAGAGTATTCAACGGCTTTCTTGAGCTCTGGGCAGTCTGCTGGGATCTCCCAGTTAAAACTCATGTGAGTTCTGTGCATGGGCTGCATCTGTTCATTGTCTGGAGAAATCTTTCCAGAAGGAAGAGACTGACTGCTACCCAGAAGTTATTACACTGTACTGTTATTATTCACACATACAAAGAATGACTAGAATTCCTTGGAACAATGGTGAAAGCAACCCATACACTTAGGGGCTGCATTCCCTGTGCCTCCAAGGACAGAGAGCTGCCCTCACACATGGCTTTGCTTTCTGAGGGATCTACCGAGGAGGTGACCTACAGCCTTGGGAGGTGAACTGGGTTGGCCCCATAGATATGGGCACTGCAGACCTGAGGAGCCACCAATTTGGGGTGAGAACTGCCCCAAGATCTGTGATGGACCAGGAGCAAATGTTCTAAAGGAATGGCTGGGGCCACAGCAGCAATGGAGAGAGGGAGGGAAAGGAGGGAAGTGAAGCAGAGACGAACTAGGGTGGCCAGACCAGGAGCCTGGACTCAGACAGACCACCTACCCACAGGTCTCAGCGACGAGCCGAGGAGGTTACCTGCACTTGCCAAAGCTCGAACCTGCAGAGCCTCGGTAGGGATCATGTGCCGGAACCGGAAGGGATCCCAGTCCTCATAGATGGAGAGTCGGTGAGATCCTACCTGCAGGAAGAGAAGGATCCAGGGCATGAGAACCAGTGGCTGGAACCCAGGACAGCCCGCACCTGTGCTCACCCAGGAATCAAAGGAGCATCATTTCGGTGGGCATTTTTGTTCCCTCAGCAGAGAACAAGAGCAAGAGCTCCTGGGAGAGATATGCTAATTATATGCAAATAATCCCACAAATCAAGGGCCCAAAAGTGAAACTCATTAAGTCTCCCCTCCCCCCAAAATAAAAAAAAAGAAACAGAAGAGGAGGAGCGGGAAGAACAGGGGAAGGGAAATGCTCTAGGAAAGGTTTTAGACAGGGAAAATCCAGTAGCAACTCACTCTCAGGTTCTAAACACGAGAGGGAAAGGGAGGTGGGCATTTCCTCAAGACCCTAGTGATGCTTAGCAAGCAAGAAAAGAAATTATTAAAGAACTCGTGACTAAGGGGGAGAACTGGAATTATGTAGATCTGAGATGCAGAGAGAGAGAGAGAGAGAGAGAGAGAGAGGAAGAGACAGAGACAGAGAGAGAGTGAGAGAGATAGAGTGAGAGAAAGAGAGACAGAGAAGGGTGGGGGGTAGGATGAAACAGGAAGGCTTACGAGTTTCTTCTTCTGTTTGGAACCATCTTTGTACACCAGGACCACAGCAGTTTTGAAGACTGGGGGAGCAAAACATAAAAACAAGATAGTTACGGCCCTAGCTACGTGGGGTTCCCCCTTGGCTTCAACCACGGGTGATAAACACTCTGGCTATGAGGAGGAAATAGGGGTTCCGCCCACCTCCAGCAACACCCACGCGACCTTCCATTCACTTGACATAGCTGCAAAATTCACGAGCCCCCACGGAGACAAAATTCCCCAGGTTCAAAGTCAGCCGAGAAAGCCTGCATAGATGGAAACCACCGCCCCCTCCTCCCCTGGAAACTTCGAGGGCAAAACACGGTATTTTAACTATGGAATCCTTTCAACTTTCAAACTTCAGCTGAGACAGGCTTTGCTCAACATTCAGCTACATTATGTAGAAAATAATGCAAGCATCTTCCAGGGTTAAAATAAAGCAGTAAAGGCACAATGGCTTAAGAGGATTATATTTACCCAAATTAAGCTGCAATCACACAGACAAAGAGCCTATGTGTAAATAATTCAGAAGCTATCATTTGTATTTTGACTTAAAAGGTGAAAATTTGTTTATTAGAACTCCAGTGCCATCCCACGTCTCTCAGAAAGACTGGGTCACAGCAGGCTCTTCAGAAGCAGGGAATACACATATTAATTGTATTACTTGGTTTAGGATATACATGGTATTATGTTGTGCTGGACTGGAGCGATAGCACAGTGGTAGGGCGTCTGCCTTGCGCGTGGCCAGCCCGGAAGAGCCGGGTTCAATTCCCCCGCCCCTCTCAGAGAGCCCGGCAAGCTACTGAGAGTATCTCACCTGCATCACAAAGCCTGGCAAGTTACCCATGAAATATTCGATATGCCAAACACAGTAACAAGTCTCGCAATGGAGACGTTACTGGGCCCGCTTGAGCAAATCGATGAACAATGGGAGGACAGTGCTACAGCACTATGTTGTGCTGCGCACATTACATTAATTGTGCTACGTTATATTTAAGTATATAAATTAGTATATATGTTATTTTATATTTATACAATATTTTTATTTTATAAAAATAAATATTTTTAAATATTTTATATTATTTTAAATAATATATTTATTTTAAACTAAACATATTTATTAATATATTTTATATTAATATTTAATATAAGTGTATATATTATATACTATATAAGTATTCATACAAAGATATTCTATTGGGGGCTGGAGTGAGAGTACAGCGGGTAGGGCATTTGCCTTGCACGCGGTTGACCGGGTTTGATCCCTGGTATCCCATATGGTCCCTTGAGTACCGCCAGGAGAAATTCCTGAGTGCAGAGCTGGAGTAACCCAAGAACATCACTGGGTGTGACCTCTCCCTCCAAAAAAAAAAAAAAAAAAAAGAGAATATTCTTTTGGAAGGGCTTGGGGAGATTGGCCTCAGCCAGCAGTGCTCCTGGGTCTGGCTGGGGGAACACTCCTAGCCATGCTTGAGAACTCCCAGTTATTCTTGGGGGACCACATGGGGCACCAGGGATCGAACCTGGGTTGGCCAGGTGAAAGGCAACTGTCTTAACCCCCGTGTTATCTCTCCTGTCTTTAAGGGGTAGAGCGAAGGAACGAGTTACCCCTCATCTTCCTGAGTTCCTGATACCATGCCAAGCACGGGACACATTCCGCAAACCCAATTTTTTTTCTTTTTGGCTCACACCCAGCGATGGTCAGGGGTTACTCCTGGCTCTGCACTCAGGAGTTAGTCCTGGCAGTGCTCGGGGGACCACATGGGATACTGGGAATTGAACCAGGGCTGGCCGCGTGCAAGGCGTTTGCTCCGGGCCCAATGAACCCAACTCTTAGTGAGGAGTGTGGACTTTTACATGGGGGCCCCCCTCCCATCTCGCACTGCTGGCTCCTGTCCCCGTCCTGTCTACCTCCCTTCACACTCTTGCCTCCCAGCACAGCTGGCCCAAGGCTGGGGGAGTGATAGAGAATGACGGTGAGACTGAGCTTGAGGCATTCTCAGGGACAAGCTCTGGAGGTCTCAGGAGAGCAGCCCCTGGGAGGGAGCCTCTCCTTCTCAGTGGGGGTCCAAGCTGAGAAATATTTGTGCTGTGGTGCCTGCACCAGGCCCTCTACCTCACGGCACCCTCCTGGCCCTCCGAGTTGCCCGCAGACCCGAGGAGACCATCAAGCTCCATGCTTCCCAACTGGCATCTCCCGGAACCCAGAGTGCTACACAGGGTTGCCACAAAGCCCAGTGCAGCCCATGCTTCTGGCCACCCTTCCTCACCCCTCCTGGTCTCTAAAGTATACCCAGGGACCTCTTTCCCATCGGTGGTTGGCCAACTCCCCCACTTTCCCAGTACTTTTACTTTCTTCCAAATCTCTGTTTCTCGCGATAGGAAGCCCATATAGGCACTCGTGGGAAGAATCTCAGTACTGAGATGCGGGCTTACCTGCAGGCCAGTGTGTGGGGGCAGATGGGTTTTGGGGGAAATGTCTTGGGAACCCTACACCACGCCTCCAGGAGCTGATGGGAAGTCTCAGGGCACCCCAGAGTTCTCCAAGAAGAAAAGGCTAGGTCAGCCACGCCACTCTGCTTTGGGGTTTGCAAAGCAAATACTACCTGCTACCACGACCCATGCCTAAGTCATGCACCCCTATCACTCACACACACACACACACACACACACACACACACGGCTGCAATAACCCAACACTCTTCTGAACACCTGGCTCACATTCTCCCCCATACTTCCATACTCCTGATATTTGGAGAGGGTCTGGGTCACACCCAGAGGTGCTCAGGGATCACATCGGGTGAAGCTCTGGGGACATTTTAAGGTGCCAGACACTGAACCAGGGCCAGTCACATGCAAGGCACGTAAGCGACCTCCCCACTGTACTGTCACCAGCTGTCCCTAGTCTTGCTTGCATGCAGCACTGGGATCTTTGTGCCTTTGGGACCACTTGGCTCCCATCAGGGATTAACAGGGTGTTGAAGGATGCAGTTAACAGACACTCTCTTCTCCCCCCTTTTCCCCACCCCTAGGAAAATTAGTTCCTTTAGGGTTTGGGCCAAGGAATGCTCTCCCAGGGGGAGGCCGGGAAAAGAACAAAGCAGAGACGCCTGAAATGCTGACAGGCTCCTTTCTGGGGCTCCAAGGCAAGCATCACCATGGCAACCCCAAGCTGTGTCCCCCCCAAAATCATGCACTACTCCTGGGGGGCTCTGCAGAACTGCTCTCTTTCCTGAAGCATCTTACAATGTCATCGCATGAGCTTTTAACTGCAAGTCACTGCATCCATCCTAACGATTAAATTCATTTAAAAAGTGAATTCCTGGCAAACGACTCTACCATCCCCAAGGTTCATTATGCTGGGACTGCGGCTACCGCGGTGAGGCCACTGCAGGTCAGCTGAGAACCCAGGTCCCAAATTCTAGCCACACAGAACAGGAGGGACTATAAAAAGAAACTAGGATGGAGCCACAGTGATAGTACAGCGGTTAGAGCATCTGCCTTGCTTGCGGCTGCCCCGGGTTCGATCTCCAGCATCCCATATGGTTCCCCGAGCAACGCCAGGAACATCGCCATGTGTGACCCCAAAAATCCAAAAAAAAAAAAAAGAAAGAAAGAAAGAAAGAAAGAAAGAAAGAAAGAAAGAAAAGAAAAGAAGCTAGGATGAAGGATGGGAGGATGGGGGGTGTCTAAGAAAGACAGTAAATCTATCTTGATCTTTTTTTCCACTTTATTACATATGTTCAGCTTTGGGGGAGGGGTGAGAGGGGCAGTTACCCATATCTGGCAGGGCCAGGGCTTACTACTCCTGGCTCTGTATCCAGGAATCACCCCTGATGGTGCTCAGGGGGACCAAATGTGGTGCCGGGGACTGAACCAGAATTGGTCATGTTCAAGGCTAGCGCCTCAACCCCTGTAGTATGTATCTCTCTGGTCCCCACATGCGCTTACTTATTTGTGATTCTTGGGCCATACCAAGTGATGCTCAGGGGTTACTCCTGCCTCTGCACTCAAAATTCAATCCTGGCAGTGCTCGGGGAACCATATGGGTTTGCAGGAGATCGAACCTGGGTGGGCCGCCTGCGAGGCAAGTACCCTCCCCTCTGGTGCTATCTCTCTGGCCTCTTCACATTATTTTTAACCTGTCCTTCTACAGGGATATTCCAAGCAGCAGCAGTCAAATACAACAACGTGAATCAACAGATCTTTGCCCGTCGACTTCTTCCCGGAAGGTGTGAGTGAAGGCGTGTCACGGGTTGCTGGGAAGACCGCAGGAGAGAAATGGAACTAACCTTACTTGAGTAAATTCCACCATGTGTCCAGCAGAAGTGTCCTGCTGCCAAGGAAGCCCGTCCCCCATCCCACCTCCCACACCCTCCAACCCTCCCATACGCACCGAAGGCCGCCAACTCTGGCTCCTTTTTCCACTTCCCCAGGGAGGCCGGGGGGTTGGGCCAGACCACAGTGGTGTGTAGCAGCAGGTCCCCCATGCTCAGATCCGCGACCTGAAAAGCAGGCGGAAGGAAGGAGTGACTGGGCATTGCAGCCAACAGGGCGACTGTCATGCTGCGTCACGCAAATGTCATGCTGTGTCACGCAAATGTCATCCCCAAATAGCATCCCTAAACTCTGGGGGGAGGGGACGTGGCACAGGCCGAGTGTGCTCAAGGTCCTGAGCTGGACGCCCAGCATCACTTCTTTTCCTGCCCTCCAAACCCATGCACCCTCCACATTCACTTTTAGTTCCTTAGCATTATGACTCTTCGCTTTTTACAGTGAAATTTACAGTGAAATCCAGAATTACTTCTGTTTGTAACAACAACAACAACAACAAACACAGAATGAAAACACCCTATTTCCTTGACCGAATAAATTTCACTTCTGTGAAAAAAAATCATCAATTAAAATATAGTGGGGGTGTTTATGATCAAAAATGTTCCCAGGAATTGTTCAGAGTGAGCAGTCAACAGAACTGAGAGGAACTGCTGAAGGAAGTGAATAGGGATATCACTGTTCTGTCACACAATGCAGTAACTGTCCGAAAGCTGAAATAAGTCCTTTGAATAACTTAAAATAACATGAACATTCTTCATTCAATATCAGAAAAGTAAAAGGACCAACACTGTAACAATATCCTCCAGCTGTTCATCAATTTGCTTGAGCAGGCCCAGTAACATCTCCATTTTGAGACTTGTTGTTACTGTGTTGAATACTGCATACTGCATATTGAATACTCTCGTTAGCTTGCCGGCCTCTCCGAGAGGGGCAGAGGAATCGAACCCAGCTCGGCCGGGCTGGCTGCGTGCAAGGCAAATGCCCTACCGCTGTGCTATCGCTCCGTTAAAAGGACCAAATAGTCAAGTACATTGATCTATTTATACATACACACATTTTATACTATATTTTACAATTGAAAATAAATGTCCAACATTAAGAGCAGGAAATTTTGTATTTTGAGGTAACAAATGTTCTCCTTCCTTTCTCCATACTTTTCTCTGCTTTTTAATAAACACGCGCTTTTCTTCTTATCATAAAGAGCTGGAGAGATAATATAAAGGGTAGACACTGGACTGGCACCTGGTCCTGCCTCAAAAGAGGTTTATGTTTTACATCTATGATAGATGATGAGAGTTTGCCTCTCTCAGTAATTCTCTTATAATGATCCAAAAAAAAAAATGCATACCTCACTGATGCCGTAAAAATCAAGCTGGAGAATGACCCCTTCATCATTTGAGGATGAGGCTGTTTACTCTGTCTAGACTAAACATCCAGTTTTCTCCTCCTCCTCTTCCTCATTCCCCCCACCACCCCCCAGTGGAATTGCTGTTCTCAGTAATTCTCTAAGAGCTTTTCTTCTTTTTCTCTCTTGAGGCAAAAAGCAAAGCCAAGGACCAGCTGAGCTGTGATGGAGGGAGGCACAGAGAAACAATATCATTATCCCTCTGATTCATGGCGGGATCCTCAGCAAGTTTACTCATCCCAACTCTGCAATGACTCATCTCAGAGATTGTTCTTTTTTTTTTTTAATTAAAAAATTTTTTTTAAATGAATCACCATGAGGTACAGTTACAGACTTAGAAACTTATGTTTCAGTCATACAATGATCGAGTACCCATCCCTTCACCAGTGCCCATTCTCCACCACCAATGTTCCCAGTATCCCTCCCACCACTCTCACCCCATTACAAGCCCCACCGCCCCAATCTCTGTGGCAAGCACATTCCTTTTTACTCTCAGAGATCATTCTAAGATTTGCTGCTACATGCATTGGCTCCTGACACTGCCTCTCATAAAATAAGTTTTCTAGTAGATTTTTCACGTTCTGAACGAATAAATTCTTCCATTGTTGTACTGCCAGTCATAGTTTGCAGTAGTATAAACATCTGCAGTACTGAAGTCCAGTTACTAACCTCACTACAAAGGTCCCCAATACCTTCCACCAATTCTAGTTACTCTGGTACAGCTCTTCATGATCTCCCTATCTCCTCAGTGATCTCAGTTCTGTAATCCAGGGCATGGCTTTGTACTATGTCAGTTCCCTGTCTCTCTCCAGACCACACATGAGCGAGATCATCCGGCATTTGTCCTTAACCCCTCTGGCTTATTTAATTTCACATGATAGCTTCCAGTTCTTTCCACATTGCAATGAACTTCAAGATTACATCTTTTCTTATCGCTGTGTGGTATTCTGCTGTGTAAATATGCCAGAACTTCTTTATCTAGTCCTCTGTCTTGGACATTTAACCTATGTTTTGGTTTTGGAGTGACACCTAGTGATGCTCACAGGTTACTCTAGGCTTTGTGCTCAGGAAACACTCTTGGAGGTGCTCAAGGGACCACATAGTATGCTGGGGACCAAACCTGGGTCAGCCACATGCAAGGCAAGTGCTCTATCAGCTATAATATTGCTCCAGACCGCCACTGGACATTTGGGTTGTTCCCATAAACTACTGCGCTCAGTGCTGTAATGAACACACACATCTTTTTGACTTTGTGGGGTTTTTTTTTTTGTGTTGGGGGTGGAAGACTCTAAGAAACACAGTTGCTAGGTCGTGATAAAGCTCAAATCTTCTTTGAGAAATCTCCACACTCTTTTCCATAGGGGCTAAACCAGCCAACTCTGCCACCAGTGGCGAATTCGGGTTGCCTTTCCACCTCTGTTCCCACTAGAACTGATTCTTTTTAGTCTTTTTGATATAGGCCATTCTCCCTGGTGGGCAATGATAGCTCACTGTTTTGATTGGCATTCCCCTGATACTAAGCTACAACGGACACTTTTCCATACCCCTTCTGGTAAGTTTGTTTAAACAAACTTTTTCAGAGTTATTTGAAACTTTCCATTCATTCAAGGAACACATTTGAATATCCACTGTAAACAAATCATTATCGTAAAAGAAGGCTTTGTCCCTCTAACAGTGCTTGTGAAAACTGCCCCAGTGATGACCAAAGGTGACCACTTCACATTTAAGCCGGAATAAAACCACAGAGCTCCAGGGGTGCAAGCAGGAGATACACGTAGCCATGTTCCAGACTAACTCAGCTGGGGAAGAAAAGTCAGCCCTCCATTGGGATCAAGGAGAGAAGGGCTGGCCACAAAACATCTGCAACATGACCTGACCATCCAGGAACAGAGTGAAAACAGCAAAGCAGCCCAGCTTTCTGAAGAGGTGGCTGAGAAGTAAGTTGGCGGGTGCGTGTGTGTTTGTGTGCGTGTGTGTGTGTGTGTCAATAGGTGAGAAGTTGATGTGTGTGCGTGCATGCGCACGTGTGTGTGTGTGTGTGTGTGTGTGGCGATAGGGTGAGAAGTTGGTGTGTGTGTGCATGCGCACGCGTGTGTGTACGTGTGTGTGTGTGTGTGTGTGTGTGTGTGTGGCGACAGGGTGCCCTCACCTCCTTTTTCTCCCCTGTCTGCTCGGCAATCAGCTGGTCAAACACGGCTCCAAACTCTTCGTGAATCTTCTGCATTTCATTGATATGACTTGCGACCTTGTTCATGGTCTTGATGGCCACTGCAAAGAAAAGGACCCCGGTGAGAGGTGGGGGCTGGGAGGAAACGGCGGGGGGGGGGGAGAGGAGTTGGAGGAGGGGTTCCCCCATCCCGCCTGGGGCCTGACCGTCCAGATGATAGTGCTCCTCGCTCTCAGCGTCCGTCAGAGCAAACAGCTCCTTCAGCAGCAGCGGGTACTTGAGGATTCTCTGGATGGGCTTGATGAGGTAAGACTCCAGCGTGGCCGAGTGCTGCTGCCTCGGGTTCTGGGCGTCCAGGAAGGCCTTGAAAGCTGGGTCTGTCTTGGCTGAAAGAGGGTGAACAGAGGTATTTGCGGGGGAGGATCCATATGCTCCCCTGCTGACAGGGAATGCACGAAATCAGGGTCTGGGGCCAGAGGATTAGGACAGGGTGCAGGCACTGGCCTTGCATGCAGCTGACCAGGTGGGGTTCCCAGAAGCACAGAAGGTCCCCCCAAGCCCTGCCAGGGGTGATTCCTGAACACAGAGCAGGGACTGAGTTCTAAGAAGGGACAGGTGTGACCCAATATCCCCATCCCCGCTCAAAAACAAAAACAAAAAATCAGGAGCAGAGGCCAGGAAGATGGGTCAAACGGCTGGAATAGGTGCTTTGGTAGACAAGACCTGGGTTTTTCCTACCACCACATTTTTCAAACACCACCAGGTATGGCCCTCAAACCAAGATATTGTGATACTTTTCAGGAACAACAATGAAACAACACACACACATTATAACTATACTGAAATTGTAAGAATTTAAAAAAAATCTATGGGGGCAGAGTTAATTGGAATAATTACAAATAACACAAATTGAGAACTGGAGCAATAATATAGTGAGTAGAGCATTTGCCTTCCAAGTGGCCGACCTGGGGGTTCAATCCCTGGCATTCCATATGGTACCCCTGAGCACCTCCAGGAGTGATTCCCAAATGCGGAGTTAGGAGTAATTAAGGTCTGAGCACCTCCATTTATGGCCCAAAAACAAAAACAAAAAACAGAACCAAAAACCCCCCACATTTTGGAGGCCAGATGGATAGTACAATGGGTAGATCACCTGCTCTACGTGTGGCAGACCCAGGTTCGATCCCTGGCATCCCATACGGTTCCCTGAGAACCACCAGGAGTGATTCCTGAGTGTAGAGCCACGAATAAGCCCTGAGCATCGCCTGGTGTGACCCCCAAACAAAAATTGCAAAAAGTCACTTTCAGGACTGTGAGGACTTGAGTTTTACTGTAGGGCCAAGTGCTTCTACAGCCATTCATCTCAGAGCACCGGGTTTAAAATGAAACACACATGGGGACCCAACTCCCGGGCCAGTCCAAACCACAGGCTGCCAAGGTCTCCATCAGAGAGCAAGAGAGAGGAAATCCTGTGCATGCCTCCCCAGCTGTGCAGATCGGGGGCTCTGCGGTGTAGGCAGCAGTTCCCATCAAGTCTCTCTTGGCATGAGGGGCAGCTCTTTTGTTATCCAAAGAATTCACACTCTCCTGATCGTCCCTATGATCATTTTATTTATATTTTTAATTTTATTATTTATTTATTTTTTAAATGTAGGAGTGCTGCTATTTATTCAGCCACTGATTCCTATGATCATTTTGAAATGAAATCAAAGCTCATTGTCTTGGGCAGCAAGCAGGAACAAGGCATATGCAAATGCCCGGCCTCACCAGGGACCACAGTGGCAACTGTTCCCGGGCCAGCTGAGGGAGAGCGGGCTGGGCGCCAGAGACTTTCGACACCAACCTCGGCACTGCTTCTGGAGGGTTAGCCTAGGAAACGTTCCTCTCCTGCTTTGCCCTTTCACCCATCACCCCACAAGGAACAGGGGAGCAAAAGGACTCGGGCAGACCCTGAGTGTGTTTCAATCTCTGCCTCGGGCAGGCTCAGGGAGCGAGCTGTTGGCCCTTTGGAAAACTCAGCATGGCACTTGGCAAAGGCTGGCTAAAGCTCCAGCGATTCTCACAAAGAACCAAAACAGCTCGAAACAACAGTGGCAGCTGCAACCACGAGTCTCCAGGAGGCCAAGGGCTGAGGATGCGGCTCCAGGATGAAAGTAGATCATTATGGCCCTGCACGAAGATCTCGATTTGTGGCCAGAGCAAGCCCAGGGGGGTAGGGCGTTTGCCTTCCAAGTAGCTGACCCAGGTTCAATCCCTGGCATCCCATATGGTCCCCTGAGCACCGCCAGGAGTAATTCCTGAGTGCAGAGCCAGGAGTAACCCCTGAGCATCACAAGGAGTGACCCAGAAAACAAAAACAACAACAACAACAACAAAAAACTAGATTTGATCCCTAGTGCCACCAAGGGAAGAAACCAACCACATGAGGGAAAAGGTGAGATTCCACTAAAGGTGGGAGCGGGTGCCCAGAGGGAGGACAGAGAACTCAGGGTTGATTCCTCGCAGGCTATAGTGCAGCACTGGGGGTCCGCCAGCATGGCCTGGGTACCCCAGCACCACAGTCTCAGACTCTTGAACGGCTGCTGGCCCAGTTGGCTGAAAATCACCTCCTGAACAGTGTGAGAATCATAGCTCCCACACATTAAATAAAAGATGGAAGTGAGTTGTGATGGAATTAATGAAAAACAGCAACTAAGCTTAGCACGTAGAAGCTGCCCACCTTTAGGCAGAATTGCATCAAGGAACCAGTCATTCTGGCCCCCAAACTTTCATGACCAAGAAACAGAGGGGTGGGGAGATTTTCATTACCAGCAGGGAGGTTGTTTGCCTTGCATGGAGCTAACCCGGGTTCGATCCCTGACATCCCATATAGTCCCCTGAGCACTGCCAGGAGTGATCCCTGAGCATCACCAGGTGTGCCCCGCACCCCTCCCCCTCCACATAAAGAAACAGTGCCTGGAGAGATAGTATAACTGGTAAGGACTCTACCTTGCACGCGGCTGACCTGGATTTGATCCCTGATACCATACCAGGAGTGATCCCTGAGCACAGAGCCAGGAGCAAGCTCTGAGCACCTCTGGGTATGGCACAAAACCAAAAATAATGGGTAACAGCTGAAGAACTAGTCCAGGGGTTGAGGCACTTGTTTGCATGTGGAACCCCAGGTTTGATCACCAGCATCGCGCACGATTCCCAGAGTCTAACAGGAGTGGTCCCCGAGTGCAGATCCAGGAGTAGCCCCTGGGCACTGCAAGGTGTGGCCCCAAGCCCCCCACGCCCGTAAGGAAACGGACAAACACATTCCCGGGGATAACAATGATCTGTCATTTCTCTGATTCGTCACACAGATGACCGTGAGATTTCTGTTCCCAGCGTCCCCACAGTGGGTCTGACACCTATACCCCCCCACCCCGCCCTTCGGTCTGCAGGAAGCTCACCTTTCACCAGAACTTTGGGGACCTTCGTGTGGCTGGCGCAGAAGGCACTATAGAGCTTGAAGCGGTCGGCATAGTAGAGGAATGAGCCTCCCAGGGAGAACAGCACTTTCTGTGTGGAGAGAGAGAGAAGCGCCATGAGTGGGTGAGTTCTTCCTCTCAGCCCCTCCAAGCCCGCATCCCCATCCTGCATCAGTTCCCCTCACCCCAGCGGGGTTCATGGAAGGACCGAGGCTGCCCAGGGCAAGGGGGAGTGTGTGCGCCAAAACATGCTAGCTCCACTACCCTCTGGACGTGGCACCAGTGTTTGAGGGTGTTTTGGGGGTTTTTGTTTTGTTTTGTTTTTTTTACACCTCTCAATGACCCAATGGGGAACGAGTTTGAAGGTTAATGAGAAAACTCTACCCGGCATTTGGGAAGAGGCCGGACTCTGAAAGCTCTCCCAGCTATGGTTGGGAGGCAGAAGTGGCACACCCCACAAAGGTCAGGCAATGCGGACACCCCCAAAAGAGAAAGTGCACCTTCCCTCCGCCCTCTAGCAGGCCGCTCGCCTCTACCTGGGAGCAGTGAAGAAGAGAAGAAACCCAGTTTGAGGGACTGTTGAGAGGAGGAGGCATTCCCCCAAGCCTGAGTCCTCTGTCCCCCAAAGAATCAGAACTTGAGAGAGATGTGGCTATTAGCAGCTTAACACGCCCAAGGCAAGATACTCTCCTGCATCCCTGAGGTGAACATGGATACAAATAGGGAAACTCTCTCCTTTGTCTCTGAGGTGAACATGGATACAAACAGGAAAACTCTGGTGAGTCTGAGGTGAATATGGATACAAACAGGGAAACTCCTGTGAGACTGAGGTAAACATGGATACAAACAGGGAAACTCCTGTGACTCTGAGGTGAACATGGATACAAACGGAAACTCGGGAAACTCCTGTGCTGAGGTGAACATGGATACAAAAAGGGAAACTCCTGTGAATCTGAGGTGAACATGGATATAAACAGGGAAACTCTTGGGAGTCTGAGGTGAACATAGATACAAACATGGAAACTAGTGTAAGTCTGAGGTAAGCATGGATACAACTAGGGAAACTCCTATGAGTCTGAGGTGAACTTTAATACAAAGCGGCAAACTCTCTTAGTGTGTCTGAAGTGAGTATCACAAAAAATATTATTATTTTTTTGGTGGGAGGGGAGGGATTTGGGTCGCCCCTGGCAATGCTCGGGGCTTACTCCTGGTTCTTCACTGAGGGATCACTCCTGGCAAGGTTCAGGGGATCATTTGGGGTGCTGGGGATCGAAGCTGGGCAGGTCAGTCATGTGCAAAGTATCCTCTCTGCTATACTATTGCTCTGGGCCCAACTACTTCTTGAAAGGAAAAAAAACCCCCAAGTTTAGGGACTGTCACACTGTCACACATTGCATTAGAAGGTTGTATATTTTGGGCGGGGGGGGGGGGCAGGGGGAGGAGGGGGCATCACCACAAGTCAGTAGCTCACAGTCTGTATTAAACAAAACTTAAAAAATTTATTTGTTAGGAGCCAGAGCGATAGCACAGTGGGTAGGGCGTTTGCCTTGCATGCAGCCGACCCAGGTTCAATCCCCGGCATCCATATGGTCCCCCAGCACTGCCAGGAGTAATTCCTGAGTGAAGAGCCAGGAGTAATCCCTGAGCATCGCTGGGTGTGACCCAAAGAGAAAAAAAAATTATTTAGGTAAGGGAGCCGTATGCGATGTTGTGGGCTGAACAGTGACTAGCCCTTGGCCAAGGAAAGCTAGTATTTACCAAGAAACAGCTCTCCAACCCCAGACTTAATTTTTTTGTTTGTTTGTTTGTTTGGAGGCAACACTCGGGCTTACTTTTGGCTCTGCACTCAGGGATCACTCCTGGCAAGACTCACAGGATCACAAGACTTGGTGCTGGGGATAGAATCCCTGTGTGCCGTGTACAAAGCAAGTTCCTTACTGGCTGTACTCTCCCGGCCTCACTTAATTTTTAAAAAAAATACTATCTTAGGGCTAGAGAGATAGCACAGTGGGTGGGGCGTTTGCTTTGCATAATGCCACGGACCCAGGTTTGATTCCCAGCATTCCACATGGTCCCCTGAGCACCGCCAGGAGTAACTCCTGAGTGCAGAGCCAGGAGTAACCCCTGTGCACCGCCAGGTGTGACCCAAAAAGCAAAAATAAATAAATAAAAATAAAAAATACTATCTTAGACTAGTGTTCAGTGCAAACACAGTGGGACTATCTGAACCAATTTTGGGACCAGGATCTAATCAGAATTTTTTAAAAACTTTTTAATTGAATCACTATGAGATATACCATTACAAAGCTGTACATTATTGGATTTTAGTCATACACTATTCTACAACACCCATTCCTTCGCCAGTGTACATTTCCGAGCACCAGTGTCCCCAGGTTCCAAGCCATCACCCCCACCTCCCAGACCCTACCTGCCTCTAATGGCAGGTACTGTTCCCACCCCCTCTCCTTCTCTCTCCCCTTTCTCTTTCTCCCTCCCTGCCTTCTGAGCAATGTAGTTTGCAATCCTAATCAAGATTTTCAGCAAAAGGCCTTAGCAGAAACCCCACTGCAATAAACCTGGGCGCCAATACAGCAAACCCAGGAAGCAGCAGAGGGGCAAGAGAGGCATGTGGCCACAAACAGCCAACGGGCTTCAGCTGTCCTCTTTCCCGATGGAAGGGGGCCTGCCAGGTCATGTACTAACCCAGTCAATGGAGGGGCAGGGCAGGAGGCCCCACTGGAGAAGAGTGTCTGCCGCTCCAAGAGTGCCAAGCCCTCTCACCAGCCCCATGTCCCTGCCTCAGACCGGCGAGCCACTGGACCTCAAAGCCCAAGAACCTACCCCACCTTGAGAGGCCAGTGAGAATGGCGGCTTCTGAGTCTCTAATGGCATTCCGTGCTGACGGGCACCATCATATAGCTTTGTGGATTAACCTACCAACTCTCGGCCATGCAGAGGCGTCCCACTGCCTGTTCCCCGGCTTAGAAGATCCAGACCAGAGTTCTTACACCCTTTTACACCCGCACACTACTACTTCTCTTGCCTACCAATGCATGGACCAGCAGCCAGGTGGTTAGACTGATGATTTTCTACATTTCCAAGGTTGCAGACCAGCGACAGCACTACAAATAGAAACCTCAAAACCAAGCTGAAGGGCTGGAGTGATAGCACAGCAGGTAGGGCATTTGCCTTGCACGCAGCCGATCCAGATTCGATTGCCAGCATCCCACATGGTCCCCTGAACACCGCCGGGAGTAAGTCCTGAGTGCAGAGCCAGGAGTAACCCCTATGCATCGCCGGGTGTGAACAACAACAACAACAACAACAAAACCACACAAGCTGAACTGCTGAACTTCTCTGAGTAGCAAATCACTCTGAGGAGGTGAGAAAACTCACTCAGGCCTTTCTGTTTTCTCCCCCTGCTTTTTGGGCCACACCTAGTGGTGCTCAGCGCTTGCTCCTGCCTCTGCACTCAGGCATCACTGCTGGCGGGCTACGGGGACCATATGGAATGCTAGAGATCAAACTCAGGTTAGATACATGCAAGGAAAATGCCCTACCCGCTGAGCTATTACTCCGCCCACTCATCCAGCCCATTTTAAACACACAAAATGAGCTCTATGCCATACATAAGATGAAAAGAGACACTGAAGCGTTATGCCTGCGACATACTCTTAAACAGTTGTGAAAAAAAATTTACAAACATAAGGCATGCATATAGAACAGATACACAGGAGACAGGAAGGGAAAGAAAAGATGAAGCAAATATGCGCAAATGTTTAAGTTTGAGGATTCCAGGGCAAGGGTATTCAAGAGCCCTTTGCATTATTCGTGCAACTTTTCTACATGTACTAGGTTTATTTACTTATTTTTGGCTTGGGGGTACACTGGGTTGTTTGTGTTCAGGGGATGCTATGGGTAGCCAGGGATTGTACCCAGGTTGGCTGATTGCAAGGCAAGCACCCTATCTGCTGTTCTATCTCACCAGTCTGCCTCACACTGCAAACAGTGTATTACCACAATAAAACAAAATAGAGAACTGCTACACGATAACCTTTCATTACCTGTATTATATTGATGCCTAAACCATAATGCCCAAAAGGAAAGGGGGGAGGGGTGCAGAGAGATAATACAGTGGGGAGGGCGTTTGCCTTGCACTCGGCCAACTGGAGTTCAATCTCCGGCATTTCATTTGGTCCCCACCCCCCCCAGCACCGCCAGAAGTAATTCCTGAGTGCAGAGTCAGGAGGAACCCCTGAGCATCGCCGGTGGAACCCAAAAAGAAAAAAAAGAAGGGGGGAGAAAGAGTGAGAGAGAGCAAGAGAAAGAAAGTGATAGGGAGAGAGGGGGAGGGGAGGGAGAGGGAGGAAGAGAGAGAGAGAGAGAGTCTGCTATACAGGCGGGGTAGTGAGGAGGGAAAAAAAACAAGAGAACTGTCTAAAGATACAGGCATATGCATGGGTGTGTAGATGTGTGTTCTAAATAGCTCGTATGGCAGAAAGCCACTGGAAGCCACAGACACTTACAAAAGATGCCATCTTTGCCTGAACTACTAAACTGTTTACAGCCCCCACCCCGACCCCAGATGGCTAAACCTGACACACCAACCTCGAGTTTAAGTACGAAAGTAATTCCTCAGAAAAGATCAAAGGAAAACACAGTGCTAGAAAAATGAGGTATTCATAGACTTCCAAGTACTGACTTTGATGGGGCTAGAACGATAGTACAGAGGGTAGGGCGCTGGCCTTGAGTACAGCCAACCCGGATTGAATCCCCAGCATCCCAGATGGCCTCCCGAGTCCAGTAGGTGCGATACCCAAGTGCAGAGCCAGGAGTCATCCCTGAGCACTGCCAGGTGTGGCCCCAAACAACAACAGCAACAACAAGAACAACAAAACAACCAGAAAACAAATCAGGAAACAATCCAACAACCCAGATGTCCACAAAACACCTTTTGTTTTTTTTTTTTGGGTGGGTGTGCAAAAGTGGGTGCAAAAGGGCCGCCGCTCCATACTGTGATACGAACTTGATGATATAAACTTGGATGACTGCTCCATGGTATTAAAAACAGAAAAGTACCAACCGGGTATATATGTAGCAATTTGGACGGAACTCAACCATGCCGAGGAAAAGAGGCCACAGTACAAAAAAGAGTATAAACTGTAAATCCCACTTATATAAAGTCATAAAACTAGGCCAGGCAGAGGGCTCAGCGGCAGGAGCTCAGGCCTTGCATGCAGAAAGGCCCCCATGCCTGGTCACCATCCACCCCCAAGGACTGCGCAGACAGCAGTCCCTGGGCACCTCCCAGCGTGGCCCCCAAACCCAAACAAAACCACTGCCATGACAAAACCTCCGACTCCACAGCAGAACCAAGCTCTACTATGAGGAAGCAGAAGCTGGTTGCCCGTGGCTGAGAGACAGGAGCAATGAATCAGACGAGTGGGTGACACTCCCAGCCAGCCCCGTGGGAGCAGCTTCCCCAGCGTCTATTCTTTAAAACACATGACGCCTTGCGTGGCCTGCCACCAAGGCCACCTCTCTGCCGTGGAGACGTCTAGGAGGTGACGTGTGAGATGCTATCCCTGTGCAGGAATCCATGAGATCGTTTTTTTTTTTTTTTCTTGGCCAAAAGTGCAGCCCAAGAAATGTCCGTGATAAAGGAAAGCCAAGCATGGAAGGAAGCTATAATAAGCCGTGAGTGTCCGCGAAGGTTCTAGTCATAAATCCTCATTAAGACTCCAAGGACACAGCGTGCGGGGACATCTTCTTCCCGGATCACGATAAGCATTTCCACTAAGCCAAGTTTCCCAGAATAGCAGAAGTTAATGCGTTTGCTGGGAAGCCAAGGGTACTAGCAGTCTTGCTGGTTGATAGCAAAGGATCAAGGCTTCCCCGGAAACACAAAACAAGGTCAAGGTTGGCCCACCTTCCCAGTGTCATGGGGGGGGGGGGGGGGGGGGGGGGGGAGGGCACAAGTACCAGTTTAGTGTAAGTTTGGGCACCAGTTTGACCTTTCCTGACTGGAGGCAGAGTGGTTGCATCTCTCAGACTCCCCCCAAGCAGTCCACTGGCCGCTCAACCCCAAGCATCCACAGTCCCCTGTGATGCGTCACCCAATGCCTGGACCTGGCATTCGGGGTCACCCACCTCAGAGTGTCCCACACCTTGGGATGACGCTCACCTTGAATTGGTCGACTTTCTCCAGCTTTTCCAAGTCGGGGACCAGCCTCACGCCGTCTTCGAGCGTTTTCAGGAATTCAACTTGGAACTCGACCATTTCGGTGAGATTTCCAAAGAGCACATCCAGCTGGAAAAGGAAAACAAAGCCCTGAAGTGGAATCCAACTCCAGGAGTTATTAGCACTCTGGAATCTGATTGGCTTCTCAGTTCTGAGTTTTCCTACAAACCCTTGTCTGTGAGAATGGTAACCCCATCACCCCGGGGGGTGGGTGGGGGAGTGGAGGTGGGGAGGGGGGCAGGAGCACCTCCTTCTTCTGCGTGCGAGCAAAGACTGGGACTTGAGCAGGTCATGCTGTGACCGACTGGGGAGCATGGAATGGATTTAAAATGCTTTCAAGGGCGCATATGCTGCCTGAGCCCTTGTGCTGCTTGCGCCCACGTGGCCGAGCACATGTGGGCTGAGCACATGTGTCACCCGCATCTCCCCTCTTGAGATGTGTACTTTCATGCTTTCGTGTCTAATGCTAGGATGTGTGTAGGGGCTCTCTCCGCCCTTGGAGAAGCCCGTGTTCTCTCTTGAGTACGTTACTCTCTCATTCTCTTCCTCTCCAAAACCCCCAAATAAAATCTATTTACTTCAAATAAATAAATAAATAAATAAATAAAATGCTTTCAAGGGGCTAGGGCGTTTGCCTTGCACACAGCCAACCCTGGTTCAATTCCCAGCATCCCATATGGTCTCCCAAGCACCCCCAGGAGTAATTCCTGAGTGCAAAGCCAGGAGTAACCCCTACACATCTCCGGGTGTGGCCCAAAATGCAAAATTAAAATAAAATAAAATGCTTTCAGTGGGGCCGGAGCCATAGATCAGTAGGAAGGGCATTTGCCTTGCATGTGGCCAACTCAGATTCGATCCCAGCAACCCATATGGTTCCCCCGAGCACCACCAGGAGTAATTCCTGAGTGCAAAGCCAGGAGTCACCCCTGAGCATTGCCAGGAGTGACCCCAAAAGACCAAAATAAATAAATTCTAAAGATAAAATAAAATGCTTTCGGTGTTGACTGCCTAAGCCCATCTCTGCACCAGGCTGGCCTGCAGCGAGAACCTCCCCTATCAGGGCAGGGCCCCCACTGACCTCATCTTGGGTGAGAAAAGTCTCCTTCTGAAGAGGTTTCAGGTATCGCTCCATGAGACAGTTCAAGTCCTAAGGGTGGGAAGAACAATTTGTTAGCACAGCTGAAAAGCCCAAGAACACTCCAGAGGAAGAAGATGTGACGAGTTGCTCTGGAGAGTGGGGGGGGAGCTTGCCTTCCATGTAGCCCCACTCACGTTCAAGCCCCAATAGGTTCCCCGCCCCCCAAACAGTGTCAGGAGTAATTCCTGAGTGCAGAGCAAGGACTAACCCCCTGAGCATCACCGGGTCGGGCTCAAACCCACCTACCTCCCACACACACCCCCCAAAATGTGATGATGTCCTAAATGTGAATCCCCTGGTCTTGAATGCCACTGGACTCAACAAAAACTAAAGGATGGTGTCACAGTTCAGAAAGCTTTTCTATAAATATCTCAGGCTGTGCGGAGTATCAAGTCAAGACTCAGCAAGTCCACTGTCAAGGGAGGGAAGCAAGTACACTCTTTCTAGGACTGAATGATCCTGGCCATAAGTTTTCAATCAAACATTATTTGCAAAAGCACTTTTTTTGTGATAGTTGGAAATGATCATTCTGGACGAGACTTGAGTGCTGGAAGTAGATGAAAGGTACATACATGATAACCTTTCGGTTACTGCAAAGCCATAATGCCTAAAAGGAAAGGCACAGAGAGAGAGAGAGACAGAGAGAGAGAGAGAGACAGACAGACAGACAGACAGAGACAGAGAGACTGAGAGAGACAGAGAGAGGATGTGTGTGGGGTGGCAGGATAGAATCTGGTGATATTGGTACATTGGTGGTGGGGGACAGGTGTTAGAACATTTTATGGCTGAAACTTAAACAACTTTGCAAATGTGTACTTCACAGTGATTTAAAAAAAAATCCCAATAACTTTATATGCAAGTGGGAGGAATTTGACCCGAAATCTCCTATTCACCAGCCCCTGCTTCAAAATCAAAACTAGACCATTAAAAACATCACATTGTTTAGCATATAACTAAGGCTAACTAAACTATATATATAGTTACAGGAGCATATAATTATATGATGCTTATAGTGAAAGGAATTATGTAATAAATTATATAGTTACACCTATGAATTACACAGGGATAAGAATAGAACTGAAGGTCATCGTCAGAGCAAGGGAGGATGCAAAGAAAACAGACCCCATACTTTTGTTTTTCATTCTGTGTTTGTTTTGGGGGGTGCGGGTTCACCTGGCGATGCTCAGGGTTCACTCCTGGCAGGCTCCGGGGACCAAATCGGGTGCTTGGAATCAAACCAGAGTCGGCCACGTGCAAGGCAAAGCTACCCTACCTGCCGTACTGGATCTCTGCACCCCCAGATCTGACACTTTCTGACTAGCCTATATGATGATGATACTTTTAAACATTTCAAAAGATGAATTTAACTACTCGGTAACATGAAAAGATGTAAGTCACAGAATTTGCTGCTCCATGGAGGGGCCTGGAGAATGTCATGCTGACCAAGACGGAGAAAAACTGACACAGAACGGTCTCTCTTATACTCGGGATATAAGGAAGCATAGTGGGGAACAATGAATACCCAAAGGGCATGTGGACAAAGACAATGGAAACCAAAAAAACGTGAGACCTGATATTCAGTAAGAAACGGGTCACTTGTGGTGGCTGCAGGCTGGGGCAGGGAGGGGTCTATGAGGAAGGGAGCGGCAGCGTTCTGCTGGGAGAAGGAGGTGGTGGGGAAGATGGGGAAGTGACAGCAATGGAACCCCGTCGGCACCGGGGCTGTAAACCACAGTGCAAAAACGTATTATATAAAAAAAAAATCTCTTGTAGAAGCAGATTGGTGGGTGGGAGGCAAATGGGGGAAGGAGAGGGTCATTGGCGGAGATCAGTGGACACTTGGGAAAGTGTCACTGCTGAAACAGTGTATGCCTGAAACCCAATCAAGAATCATTCTGTCAGGGCTGGAGTGACACCATAGTGGGTAGGGTGTTTGCCTTGCACACGGCTGACCCGGGTTCGATTCCCAGCATCCCATAGGGTCCCCCGAGCACTGCCAGGAATAATTCCTGAGTGCAGAGCCAGGAGTAACCCTTGAGCATCGTCAGCAATGTGTAGTTTCAAAACTAGGGGGAAAAAAAAGAGAGAACAAAAGCAGCTTGAGTGATAGCACAGTGGGTAGGGCATTTGCCTAGAACATGGCCAACCTGGGTTGATTCCCAGCATCCCATATGGTCCCCCAAGCACCGCCAGGGGTAATTCCTGAGTGCACGAGGTAGGAGTAACCCCTGAGCACTGCCTGGTGTGACCCAAAAGGCCAAAAAAAAAAAAAAAGAATCACTTTGTAATTTCAGTGCCTTAAAAATTTTTTTAAGCTGAGTGTCATTTTAATATTCACGCAACCCCATCCTCACTATGATCTCCTTTCCCTGTCGATCAATTCATTATTCTATTGGTGCTCCGCTGCCAGGAAGTCCCTCCCCTCTCCTTTCTCAGCTGACCCACGCTGCATTCCCCAGTACCTCGCTTCCAGAATATTCACTATCATCACCTTTCCCAGTTGACCCATGACATCCCCTGGTGCGTCGCTCACAACCAGAATACTGGCCGCCATGGGTCCTTTCCAGCCAACCCCTCATAACCAAGAAGGAATCGCTCTCAGAATCAACATACTTCCAAGACACCTTAACGTCTCAACCAAGGCCCAGCAACATGAGAGAGCCCGGAGACACTCTTGCTGCCATCAGCGCCCCTTCCCTCCACTGAGGAGTCAACGCCCCCCACCCCTCAACCGTGCCTACCTTCACGTAGGTCCGCTCCGTCTCCAGCAGCTCGCAGATGACCTTGCGCAGCTTGTCGGCGTCTGTGAGCTGCCGCATGGTGGCCAGCTGCGGGCCGCTGGGGTCCTGCGGGGATGGGCTGGTGTCCGAGGAGCTCATCTCATGCAGGCTCCGGCAGAAGGCCGACACCTGTTCCGTGCTCTTCCGGGCACCGGCGAGAAAGCAAGGCAGACATGGTGAGTCTCTGGGCTCTTCCCGGGGAGGGACCGTCCCACGCGAGGTCCCGCCTCCCACTTGGCTGCACACACACGACTGCTCACACAAACCCCCTGTGTGGACAGTTGCTGGAACAGACCCGCAGGGCCTGGAAGAGCCCCTTTCCTGTCATGCGAGGACAGTGTGCTCAGAGAGGTCCAGGGACTCGTCTGAGATGACACAGCTGCAAGGCGGCGGCGAGGCTGGGATTTGAGTGGGGCCCGAGTTCCATCCCCGACACCAAATGGACCCTCAGCACAGAAGAGAATAAGTGCAACTGGGTAGAGTGCAAATATCTTCCTCAAAGGGAGAGGAGGAGGAAGAGGAAGAGGAAGAGGAAGAGGAGGACAGAGAGAGAAAGAAAGAGAGAGAGAGAAAGAGACAGAAATAGAGAGAGAGAGAAAGAGAGACAGAGACAGAGAGAGAGAGAAACAAAAACGGTTTTACTTCGTGACACTGGGGCTTTAGTACTTCAAAGCGATCCTTGAACACACAGTTAATACCGCTTGGCCTTACAAGTTTAAAAGGAACAAATAGGCCCAATGTTGCTGCCAAAACGAAACCCCCACGGACAGAGATGAGAGCTGCCTGCGAACTGGCCACCCCGGCAGCTTAGCCCAGCCCTGTTCTCGCTCTGCTGTGGGAGCAGCCCACACAGGCCCAGCTGCAAACGGGTCACTGGCACCTTTGCTTCCACGGAGATTTCCCGGCGGTCCCAGTAAATGCCATGGTGGCCTGTCCCCGTGACAAACAATGATGAAAACCACCCCATAAGACCACTGCAAACCCCTCAGTGAACCACAGTGCCTCTTGGCAGCTTCAGTCTTTAGACAAGCTAAAGACTTGTCTTTAGCTCCACCCACTTTGATTAAAATTTTTTAAAAAAATCACTCAGTATCCCCAAACAGAAAGTGCCCCCCCCCATCCCCAATAGTCCCTGAGGGCATGAAGCACCCCATTCTCTTACACGCTCTGGATCATTCCAGCACCCAGGGTGGCGGCTGGGGGGGATGAGAGGGGGCACTAGGAATGCAGTATCATCCACCTGGTGAAACTCTGCCCTTGGGACTCTAACATACTGCACCCAAATCAGGAAAATCCCAGCGACCCCCCTGTGTTTTCCCTCCTTGCACCCCAACTCCCTGCCCCATCAGCCGCACCCACAATGCAAAGGTTGGGCATTGAGGCCTCAGCGCTTTCGGGCCCTGGGTATTCCTTCCAGGAAATGAGGACGATTTCCTTCTGTTTTCCCTTCTGTTTTGGGGGCCACATCTGGCAGTGCTAACTCCCCGATTTGTGCTCAGGGATTCCTCCTGGCATGATCCGGGAACCCAATGAGGTACCAGGGATCGAGCAAGGTTGACTGTACGCCAGACAAGTGCCCTCCCTGCTGAGCTATTTGCTCTGAGCCCTGAATTTCCTCCACTTCCCCATACAGGACTTGAGCTGCTGGGGCATAAGGCTGCATGCAGATGCTCTGAATGCAGCCATCTCTAATGCCACCTTGACTTTGACCTTCAAGACCCACGTGACTCTGGGCTGGAGCGATAGGACAGTGGGGAGGGTGCTTGTCTTGCGCGTGGCTGACCCGGATTCGATCCCCGGCATCCCATATGGTCCCCCGAGCACTGCCAGGAGTAGTAATTCCTGAGTGTAGAGCCAGCAGTAACCCCTGAGCATAGCCGTGTGTGAAACAAAAAGCAAAACAAAGAAATAAATCTTTTTTAAAATAAAGAAATAAAGACAGACCCACGTGACTTGCCTTTCTCCCAGCCCCTGCCCCAGCCTGGTCCTGAATTCCATGAGGAACTGCTAAGTTTAGAAGGCCAGGGGACACCACCCGCAACCCCCAGAGATTCCTGAGGGTTCGCAGCCCCGACACTTTTCAGACTAAGGGAGCTGGGGCCAGGTGGCATCAGACTAGGAGGAAGAAGACAAAAGAAGTGTCTGCAGGAGCCTCCCTGTTCTCTCATTCAAGGTCTGATGAACACCCCCCGCCCCCTCGCCTGCGCCGCAGAACTGGGTCAAAATGGAAATCATCGCTTTTTTACTGCCAATTACATGTTCCATTTAAAAACACAAGATGACAAGGAATGATGTGTACGTGTCAAGGGGGGTTATTGCGGAGCTGCCTAATAGAATCTTGGGGTGCGCAAACAGTTAACCGAAAGAGATGTTATCAATTTTGAGAGACTGTTTTAACACAAGTGTTATGTGCCCCCCCCAGCCCCCAAACCTTAGAAGGAAGTTAAGAAATGTAGGTTGATTTTTTTTTCCTTTGTTTTAGAAGAAGCTCTCTAAGCTGGAGAGGTAGCAAACGATAAAAATGGCTCCGGCTTTGAACTCCCTCCTGCCCCATGGCTGTGGTCCTGCTCCGTCACAATCTACCAGGACTGGATGGAAGACCAGGTGGTCTAGTAGGTAGGGTGCTTGCCTTGCCTGCCGCGGGTTCTTGCCTTACACCACGGATGAGTCCCCTGAGTGCCACCAGGGGTCACTCCTGAGCACAGAGTCAGGGAACCGGCCCGGCACATACAAGTGGTACAATATGGAAAGTATCATGCTAAGCGAAATGAGTCAGAAAGAGAGGGATAGACATAGAAAGATTGCATTCATCTGGGGGATATAAAGTAACAAAGTATGAGATTAATACCCAAGAATAGCTGAGATCAGCACCAGGAGGATTACTCCATAACTTAGAGGCCAGCCGGGTATCCTAGAGGAAAGGGCTATTCAGATAGAGAAGGGAGCACCAAATAAAGGATGTTTGGAGGATCCTCCCAGGAGGGGAGATGCATGTCGAAAGTAGACTATGGACTGAACATGTTTGCCACTCAATGCCTCTTTTGCAGACCACAACACCCAAAAGGAGAGAGAGAACACAGGGGATTGCCCTGCCACAGAGACGGGGGGATGGGGGGATGGGGGTGGGAGGGATATTATCCATGGTGGTGGAAAATGGGCACTGGTGGAGGGATGGGTATCTGATCATTGTATAATTGAAACCAAAGCACAAAAAATTGTAAATCTACAACTTTAAAAAAAATAAAATAAAATAAAGGGAAACAAAAAAAAAAAAAGAATATTTTTCTAAACTAGAAAATGTATAATAGAAAAAAAAAAAAAAAAAAAAACCTAGCGGTACCCGAGTTCCGGCGGGAATTCAGTGGTGAAGCGTTGGCTGAGCAAGTGTGTGTGGGGCCTCAGACTCAATTCCCGCAGCTGCGAACACACACGCTCTCACACGCCAACCCCAGGATCTTCGCACCCATCCACGGGTTAGGGCGTGAAATTGACATGCTCAGCCCCCCTAAGGACCTTCTCAAGAAGCAAGGTGCCCTCCCCACTCCACCACTGATATGCCCGGGGCTCCCTCATTAAGCAGAGGACCCCGCAGCCAGGAGCTCCCAGAAGGGCAGCTAGCTGCCCAAAAGCCCAGCTTGCTGGAACTGGGACAGGGACTCAGGGTTGCTGAGAAAACAGTCCAGGTTTCTCCAAGGGGAGAAGCACAAAAGCCTCCCTCAGCACACACAGATTGCTGGGAGGGCCCCAATCGGTCACCCTAGAAACAGAAGTTTGTGGGGGGGGGGGGGGGGGAAGGCCGCGCTTGGGGGCCTTTGAAAGGCTCCAGCTCAAAAGTGCCAGAGGAGGGCAAGAGTTGTCCAGCTCCCAGGCCCCAAAGCGATCCCACCCCCACCCAGCAGAGGGCACTGCTGAGGCCACTGTGGCACTGTTGCTTCCAGGGCTTTCTTCCAGAGGAAGATGAAAAGCCCGCACAAAGAGGGCTAGGAGCGAAGCCTGCTCAGAGCACACCGCCACGCCAGACGCCCAGCTGTTCAGTCTCTGCCCGTTATGCAAGCACGAAGGGCGACTTCTTTCTGCCTCTGAGTTCAGAGTTCTAAAATGGTCCTTTGAGACTGACCGACTTAACACATCCCACAGGCTTTAAAAAGGGGGCCCAAGTGGCCTCAAATCTCTAAGCTGTATTTGGGATTTTTGGGGGAGAGACAAACAGCATGTAGGCGATGACCCCATCACCCCTCCGACCAGATCCACAGGGCTGACCCTGGGGGGTCTTCCTCGCCTCTTCCACCCTCCTGAAGTACCTCGGGAGAGGACACCACCACAGTGGGGAGGTTGTTGGGGGGGGGTCCACGGGGTGTAAACTCTCAGAGCTTCCTCAGATGACCCCAACATCAAATTGTGGGCATATTCCGCGGGGCACATCACACCCTCAAAAAAGTTTCTACTTATTTCGGTTAAATAATCCCTTGCCCCAAACACACTCAACCTTCTTTAGCAGGCATCAGCCAGCCCTAGCAGAGGAAGTCAGCGGCCACTCAGCCCTACGCCTGAGCCCTAACCATCTCCTTAAGAAAGCGGAAATAATGATCAAAGCGTTTCAAAGTTGGGAGTTTGGTGGTGGGGTGTCCTGTCTGCATCAGCATCGGCTGACCACGGCACTCACCCTGCCGACCACCCCAGAAACCCCACCCCCACTCCCCGACCATCCAGACTGAACATGGAAAAGGTCTACCCGACCTAGGGCATAAACACCCAGAATTCCAACATTCAAAAGAGGGGAAGGTCAAGCAATGCAGTGTTTAAAAGAAACAAAAGCAATCATCACACATTCCCTGGCATTAGAAAGCTTCCTTAACATCAGTAATCATAAAGATTCTTGGCTTCTCCCATCTCGCCCTGATGCTCCACCCGGTGCTAAAAATCTCTCCAATATTACTAGGAAGGGGCTGGAGGCGAGAGGGATCTGAGCTCGGGAATGGAAAAGATGGAAAAGACGCATAATTACTTTCCTTTGGAAAGGGAAAACATCACCAGGCCAAGTCGGTAACCTCAGGCTAACAAAAGAGAATCCAAAGTGGAAAGGGGGAAGGGGGAGGGGGGGCTCACCAGTCGGAGGGTCCCCGACCCTGGGTCACCACCGG